AATAGTGACAAATAGCAATTGGTTAGAATCTTTAAGAAATTTAGTGGTCAAAAATTACAGAATCAAACAAGTAAGAATATTTTAAAAGATATTTCAAGAAATATATATTACAAAACAGCTGAAATGAGATTAAAATCCTTACTTACCTGAAGCTAACGGCAGTCGGGACAAGTGATTCCATTTCGCGCTGCCGCTGCTCCTCTTGAGAGCGGATCCGTTCCGCTATTAGTTCTTTTATGACGTGAGGATGCTCGTTCGATTGAATCATCCCTCTTATCTATGGAGGTTCAAATCTGTGCTGCAAAAAGCTTGACATAATATTGAATTTCATTCCCTGACAAAATCGCTAAGCTAGCACGCAATTAGCTGTGTGCCTAACGAATTTCTAATTGAAGAAGCTTTAATACATACATACCTAAACAATTGACCAACAATGCAATTATGAGAGTTCAATTTTAAGTTTGTTGAAGAAGATGAGCAGGAAATAAGGGAAAAAATTAATTGGAACTTAAAAAAATAAAAAATAGCATAAACTCATTTAAAGATGTTCTTCGCACTTCTCTGAAACACACCAAAATCAAATGACAAACTCATCTTCAACAAACTGAAAATTAAACATATGATTTTTTTATACTTAAATTCCAATAAGTTGTTAAATTAAAAACAAAATTCAATTAAAAAACAACAAATTCATAAGCAAAAATCAAAGAGACGCAAAACAGATTTTCACAACAACTGAAGGTATTGATGAAAAAGAATCATCGTATTGTTTGACCAATTTAAAAAAGAAATTTAAACCAAACAACTATGTAGTAAGCCTCAATTTCCATTATTAAATTTTAATGATTTTTAAAGAAAACGAGGATTATTATTTTAGTAAGAATTTAAAAAACATTAGTTAAAAAAATATCGGCAAGAATTTAAACCTCTGATCTAATCTCTTCGGCAATGATCCACAGAAAAAGGAAACATACTTTTATGTAAGGATAGAATTTGTGTCTTCACATTCTCATATTCCCCTCAATCATCTCTGTCTTCAACTCTCTCTAATTATGCAACATATTTTGATTGACCCCATCAAGAGTAAGTATGGGGTCAAATGATACAGTGCAAACGGAAACTACAAAATATGAGGTTAAGAATCTCTGCAATAGATTCTGTAATTACCAATGTAATTAATGTATACGTGCTAATTCTTCAATTAACTCTTTGTTAATTTATACCGTACTATCAAATAAAATCAATTCAAAAATTTTTTATTTTTGACTAATACAAAATAATTTATGATCAATCTGTCCGACATTACAGTCCTGTTCATCGATTCATCATTCAGTTAACAATGCTTATAAAAATTACAAATTGTTGGAAATAGAAAATTTTTTATAGAAAATTATAAAATTTTTTTCATCCTTTTCTAACGAAATATACACCAAATATCATTAGGATTATTGTAGTCTGAATTACTACGATAAGAAATGAAATTGCATAAAATCATGATTTATGAATAATGAATTTCTTTTTTTAGTTTTAGAATTGATCAAATTAATTTTGTTCAATACTTTTGAGCTTTCTATCATCATGCAACATTAAACAGACAAATTCAATGTTGTGCTATCACAAAAAGGAAGAATTCAAATTTGTTTGACAATTGCTAAATATGCATTTGCTTGATTTTTGCCTTTTTACAAGACAAAAAAAAAATGAATTAAAAATATCGCAAAATGGGCTAAATAATTCATAATAAACTCATTATTGCATTCCGAAAAGTTGAGTGAATTTTCACACGAACTAGACGGGATGATCTTTTATCAAGGAAATCGAAATTGTTCATAATGTGTGAAATATTCGTAGTATTTTTGTATCGTAGAAATCTGCACTGCAATAACTGACTGTTTTCGATAGGTTAAACTGTTTTAAAAAAAAAATTTCACCTGTTCAATATTTGAATTTGAAAAGATACTTTCTTCATGTCTAATTATTACGTGAACTAATATTTGTTAACTTCTATTGTTTCTAATTTAACTGTTCTTTGTAATTTCATACATGAATTTATATCCTTTTTTAAAAAATACAAAACAGTTTGAGCATAATGAATAAAAACTTAGAAGGAGAATGTCTCGGAATATGTCACTTTTCTTCTTTCAGATCAAAAAAATTGGGTTCGATTATATAATCAATCAGATTAACACGTTGTGCATTAATTACATTAATAATCAAATTTGTTATAAAGAGATTCCCTCTTTATGTCATGTTTACACTGTAATAGAATGAAGAGGTCAACAAACATGTTTGTTAATGCAATCAATTAAAATATGTATTATTGAAAAGGTCAACCGTCCATTTTACGGGAACAAAAGAAAAAACAAACGAATGCAATCCTGCTTCTCTCCACCGTACTGTACTTATCAAAAAGGTTAAATAAGAAGATTTAAAAATTAATTGTAATTCGTAATCTGACAAATAATGTACTGATTATGATTACGATGGATCGATATTTGTATCGATGGTATTATTGATATTTGGAAATGGATAAAACATCAACTATATACATAATAATCATAATTAATTCCTAGAAATATTTGTTGTACTTGGATGATTCAAATGAATTTATTATTCTTCCTCAAGAATTATCATATGCGCTATTCATAAGTTGAGAAATTAATTTTTTAATTTAATTCAGATATCAAGTAAAGATGCAAATGTTTCGCAGAAAATGATTTAACAGCGAATGCAGTCAATTTCATTTAGGATAATGCTTTCTGTTATATTCAATCTATACCGCATGATTCTTTCTCACAAAAAAGTTTGCTAATCTCCGGCATTTCGAATAATCATTAGCATAATTAGCATAACCCACACTAAACACTATCATCATATAACTTTGCAGACCAGTTTAAAATCGTTTTATTTGCCTCCAATTCTACGGAATCATATCGCAAAAGGAAATGCAAACTTTCACATTTACTGAACGCAATAATTTAAACTAAAAAACCAATTAATTATATACACATTCAAACGAAAAAATTTTGTCAACAATGAATGCACTGTACAAAACATTAAATAATAAAGTTACATGATTAATAAATTTTCAAAAACATTAAAAAAATGCTCGATTATACAACATACATAAAATATACAATACGAAACATTAAACATAGAAAACAATTTAATATATTAAGTTCCCCATCCCCTTTAACCTCGGTGCATGCCTTCTCTTCCAGGCCTGTACCTCGCTTCACGAACTGGCCCATTGCAAAGGATGTAATCGGTGCCATTCTCGT